CGCTTGTATCTAAACAGCAATGGCCAACTGTTTAAAATGATGCCAAGAATACAGCCGCAGCAGCCTGTCCTTGGTATAAGCGCTTCAGGACATGACCTTTTTTGATGGTGGACGGTCCTGAAGCGGTTAATGACAGGGATGGGCGAATCTGATCGGGTATGTTTCACAAAGGGCTCTTCACATACTATTCGGAATTTAAAAAACCTGAACATAGCCACTGAAATCAATGGGGTTCAACTTGTGATACTGAATGCTAGCCATTTACAAGGTTAATAGGCAAGGTATTGTCAAAAGAGGGCATGGGGAGCTGGGCACTGCCATGGGGGACATGTAAAAAAAAAAAGTAAAACATACTGTACAGTGGGGAGAAGGTCCTTTAAAGTGACTTTGAGGGAGCCACGGAGAAAATACCAATCACTTACATTACACGGAGACAGCATCAGGGACATTGTATTCTGGCATAACACATTTTAGTTTTGCTTAAAGGAGAACTATGAGGCGAGTGATTTTCACTCACCTCATAGTTGGAGCCGAAGTGTGACAATGAAACTGTCACAGGTCGGCTCAATAGATCGGGAAGTGAGCGAACACATACCGTCGCTCGCTCACTTCTCGATCATGTCCCTGCAGAGAGCCGTGACTGTCAGTCACGGCTCCCTGCAGGGATGCCTCCCCTCTCCGATCCTCCAGAGCTGACTGGCGGAACGGACGGGGGAGGGGGCGGGTACAGCTGGCTCTGCCTCTAGATAGGCAGAGCCCCCTGTCACTCACGCAGCTGGGTGGATCTCGTCCCGGCTGCAGCGGTCTCAGTATGCAGCGAGCTGTAGCTTGCGATATACTGAGCTTTGGGATGCTAGTTTATGTCCTCCCGTGACCCTAAGGAGAAATATGGGGGAAAACACTTACCCTTACAAAATGGGTATTTTGTTGTGTTTTGGGGCATTTAATTAAATTTATCACTAAATTTTGGGGTTTAATAAGGAGTTGCGCTAATATTGCGCAACATAAAATTTGCAACTACCACCATTATATTGTATAGGGTCTTGGAATTCAGAAAATATATAATGTGTGGGGGGTTTTAAGTAATTTTCAGGCCTAAAATGTGGAAAATAACATGGGTGCAAAAAATGAAAAAAAGGCCTCAGTCATGAATGGGGTTAACTAGAGCAGCAGCACTCCAATCTGATACATAACAACATGTAAAAAAAAAAAAAACGTTTTTAGGTAGTTTTGGCTGTGACACCTGATTTTTTCCCCCCAGCCATGATAGGCCTGAATTGACTGGTGGAAGAAGCGGCCAGAACTGATCTAAAAGCTATACGGTAATAAAAATACATTTAAAGCCCACAACTTGGGCTTTAAATGTTTGCAATTGCAATTGCAAAACCGTGTAATAGTATGGTTTGTGTCCTAAAGGTTTAATAAAATATGTACAAAAACACTTAAGAACCACAACCCTACATTTTATGATCTGCCCTCCTTCCCCTTCCCAATCCCCAATTATTCCCCAGATATTCTAAATATAGACTTCGTGTGTTTAATAGACAGGACAGCACGCAAGCACTTGAATAGACAGCAAATAGAAAGAGACAAGGCCGATTTTGTTTTGGTGTAGCACCCCCCTGAACCCCGAAGGCCTGTGTTGGACCCCCAGAGGCAGGGAGGGCTGACATTTCACTCTCAGGGGTGGATCCTTAGCCGGGTTGTGGGATGTGAACAGTAAATTGGGCGCCAGACACTTTAAGGACTTTTTAGATGCTTTATTAAAGAACAGCCAAGCTGGGAGGGAGGGTATTGGGCTACAGACATCCAAAGCAAAAATAGATTCCAGACTCAGCAATCCCTTCCAGCTTCCACAGTGCAGGAATGCTTTAGTTGAATATAAGGTGACACTGTGTAGTAGGGCAACAACTGAATAGATTATAAGCATAATATCTTGTCTGGGAGAGACACCAGCCTTGTTCCCGAGGTCCATGCCATCCTTGCCTTCCTGGCATCCCCAGCAGATAAAAGGTCCCCTGTTTCTCCTTCACAGATAGTTCCAGACCCCACTTGGCTCCACATATGGCCTCCTCCAGGCTTAAGGCTTTTCCAACCTCGTACATCCCAACCCCAGACTAGGCCCATGAGCAGACTGTCCAAGTAAATGGCAATTACTGAGTATTTATAAACTTCCCCAGCATGCGCTACCGGCCATGAAACTCCTAGAGAGGCATAGACATTCCTAACATCCCTTTATTGGCTGCCCCACTCTGTGGTAGGGTCACACCCCAATCACAGGTAGGTGCAATCAATAGCAGAACCGCTAGAAACCACCAAATGATGCCAGACTACAAATCAGCCAGACTGATTACAGTGCTAGAAACACTAGATTTAAGTAGCCACTCCCCTTTGGGTTGAAGGGGTTACACTTGAAATAAACATTTTCTAAGTGATAATAGCCACCAAGCCTTCCTCTGTTTCCTCCTCCTAGGAACAGAGCGTCTAGTTGTCTGCAACTGCTGCTAATGTGCCTTCTTGTCTGCAACTGCTGCTGAACCCGCCATAGCCCTGCAAACTGGCAAAGAGGAGTTGGCAGAATTATTTGATCACATGGTCACTGTCTTGAAGATGATCTTGGTCAGGCACCAGCATTCCTCCTTTCAGATTTTGAGACTGAGAAAGATAGTGCCAGGCCTGTAGAGGAAGGGGACAGACAGAGAGAGATCAGCAAGAGGGGCATTCCAGCATCTGGAGAAAGAAGAAAGTAAAGCCAATTCTTTTAAAGATCCTTTAACATCTTCTGGCAATCTCTCTTCCTGTCAACATCTAATTGAGCTAACTGACTGCATCAACAGGATGCCTCAGACCTTTAAGGGGCCAGCGTGTGAAGTGAAGTGTCTAGCAGCCTCAGTGAGAAGAGAAGAGTTACAAAGTAAAAGTAAAGATGAGAAAGTAGAGAGATGAAGACACGGAGATCCTTAGACATGGCGGGTGGACCAAGGATCTGACCTCTTCATCTGACCTCCAATCCTGGACAGTTGTCATGGAGGACAGCCCCCAAACATAAACATGTGACCTATGACATCATTGAGTGAAGAATTTGTACAAGCAGCACATCATTCATTACAAGAGACATTCATTTCTGTCATCTCAGAACACCTCATCAGCTTGTCCCACCTCCAGACCCCCAAATACCTCATTGTAGAACAAGGAGACCAACTGTCACTGTGTTCTACAACAAGACATTCCAAGGATCCGGAGAACAACCATTTGTTCTAATCACATCTTTCTGTAAAGTCATTCCAGCAAGTCAGCCTGTTATTCTAGAAAGAACCCAACATCAGCATAGAAGCACTTAGTGATGTCATCTCATCATTAGTAACGCAGATCAGAAGGATTTTTCTTTATCACATGAATAGGACCATAGAGGAAATGTAACCATTGTTCTGCCCCATAAGGATCATAGAGGTGCCGGGACTGAAGGGGAGAATGGGGATT